GAGAGAGAGAGAGAGATGTCGATCGAGAGATTTGTGTATTTTGTTCTGAGAGGGCTGTGACTTTGCTGAGAACTGAAATGACCCCTTTTTTTGGGTAACTTAAAATCCTTGAAATGGTGAGTAAAAATCATTGGGCTCTTTCCATGAATTTCAAATCATTAATTTTTTACTGTTATCCAAATAAGCCCAATAATTTGGGCCTAAGAATTTGAAATCTACATGTCCAAATCACTTCATCCAAACAGAGCCTTAAAAAATTCAAAAAATCACTCCATTAATGGTATAAAATCAAAAAATAAGCGGCAAATTGATATACTATTTTTGTATTTTTTTCTTATTGTTATTATATATATCACAAATTATTTGCTAAGCCCTGTATTAATGTACTACAATACCACGTTGTATCACACCGAACATTAGGCAGTTCGATTCAACCCACTGCATATATTTATTTTAGGATTTTCTTATTTACCACATGAATTTAAATATATTGCATATGTACGGAGAGAGAGAGAGATCTTATTTGCATGATTACCATTTGAAGTGCATTTAGTTGTGTTGAGGCTAAATATCCGTTACCAAAGTAATTAAGATTCCACATCTCCCCACGTCTCCTACAATCACACATGTGTGAGATTTTTTTTTTGAAAAAAAAAAGGTAAGTGCAAAATATTAAAACGTACTCATTTTTTGAATAGACAGTATATATTGCGTTTATAATCAGTATATATTCAATATATAACCTGATTTTTTATTTATATAACATTTTTATTTAGCCATAATTGTGATATTTGAAATTTTGTTCAATATATAACACATCATATACATATCATAAACTGATCATAATCAGTATTTTAATAAATTATTTTAGTATATGTAGAGTATATGATAAACAAATGAAGCACGAGCCAGATAATAAACACACGAAACACAAAAAACGAAAACATATACTGTCTATACACGCAACATATACTGTCGATTGTAGTTACGGGAGCATATATTAAAAAATATACTGTATATATACGCAACATATCCCACAACATAATAAATCAGACGAAAAAAAATCTCCAAAAAGATGAAACATCATCAATCATTGGTCATACATATATTGAATATAAACTAAAATAAAACCCAAACAATGAAAAAAGACCATTATTAAAAAAAATTGAATGAACACAAGTTTCCCCCGACGTCGGCGGGATTGATGAATCCTAGGACCCCGGCCCGCCCCCTTTTTTCCCTGACATCTAGGCCGCGATCAAATCCTCCATCAAAACCCTAGTCCGCGCCGCCTTCCCCAAGCTTAACTGTAGGGCTAGCGCCGGCGAACCGCTCTCCGGTTGTTGGAGGGCCAGCTCGCCTCCTCAGTTTGGTGGTCGCCAATTGGGGCTTGGGGTCGTCTTACTTCCGGCTAGTCCGTCAATCCATCGATGACCATGCGTTCATCCAAGCCGTGGGTCGCCCGTCTTCGACCGATAAAAAATAAATAAATAAAAATTTCAACTGTAGGAAGAGAGAAAATTTTATGCGTAAAGTTGTAGAAGAAGAAGAAGAAAAGAGGGAGAGGACATAGAGAAAGTGTTGTGATCTTTAGGAAAGTGATAAGTTTTTTTTTAATTACTCCAATAACTGATTACATATGTAAATTAATTATTTATTGACATGGTAGTTTTGCAAATAAAAAGTCTCTAGCTAGTTGAATTGCTATTATTTGTGACTTGTCTCATTAATGTAATAAAAAATTAAATTTATTGTACAGGGTATAAAAATTCTCTTTATTTTAAGGAATAAACTTGGGCTCATAATAAAGTCTTCCAGCCCACTAGCCATAGTTCTTTTCTTCTGAAGGCCTTTGTACATTTCTTCCAGGCTTGGGTGTGGGCAATAGGGCAGTTGATACCAGCCGCTGACCGCAAAGACGCCGTGACTGACGGTCGACCACGGATAAGTTTCAAGAACTCCAAATGTTGTACTATATATACGTGTGTTAAGCTAGGTACCAATATTTTGAATCCCGAATTTAATAAGCTCTTGATTTGGTTGTTTGGTTATGAGCTTAGTTTTTATGATTGTTCTTATCAGGCCTTAGTTTTCATTATGGATTGTTTCGTTGAAGATGAATAAAGTTGAGGGAGATACTACGGTCTCGTTACGGAACTATTCCGGCGGAATTTGTAGACGTTAGATCAACTATTTTCGACGTTTTTATATGATCTAACAGTTACAAACTCGACAGAATTGTACCATAACAGACAGTAACATTTTCCGGAAGTTTAATGACCTAGGTGGGGAGTTGGGGAGTGTTTAAGGTAATTTTTAGGGATGGCAAAACGAACTGGATCCGGCCCGACTTGGCCTGACCCGGAGCATTTGGGGCAGAAAAAATTTGCCCCATTTCAATAACGGGCCGGACCAGGTTCGGGTCTTGTATCCCGGCCTGCCCGCCCCGCCTGCCCTGGCCTGGTCTGTTTTTTTTTTTTTAAATTATTTTTTTGTAATGAAAGTTATATATATAATATATAATGTGATGTGATTAGGGATTAGGTTTGTGAAATTTCTGGTTTATCGCTCTCGCACAGGCACCACAGCCGCAAACATCTCTACTCACTCGTCACCTCTCTCTCCCAGTCACTCTCTCCGGCCGTCCGGCACCTCTAGCCTCTCGACATAGTAGACAATCGCTTCTTCGCGCCTCGATGCCGCACCTCCGAAGTCCGACAAAAGCTCCGGCCGCTCATAGCCTTGCCTCGACGGTCCGCCTCACCTCCGAGGCTCCGGCACAAAGGTTCGACGCCCCGCCTCCTACCCGACGCCAATTTTGGATAGTATTGGTACATTTTAAAAAAAAATTGTTCATGTTGTCTTGTGATTTGAACTGCTGTCTAATTTGATATGGCATAGGAGTTAGGATGTGTTTATGTTTAGGAATTAGGATGAAGTGCTGTGTTGTTATCTTGAGTTAGGATGAATTTGATATGGCTCAAAAGGAAGATGGATTTGGTTTTGAAGATGATGCGTTCTTTTTTTCTGTTTTTGTTTTGTATCTGTATATATAATTTTTCAGTTTTTCTTCATCTTTTTCTTTCTGTTGTGAAGCAGCAACCTGCTGGGTTAGGCACGGGCCACAGGCCAGGCTGGGTCGACCCGCCCCGAAACGGGTCAGGACACGGGCCCAACCTGTTGGACCCGTCGCGGGTCACAGGCCAGGTCGGGTACACAGGGCGAAAACGCGGGCCAGGTCCGGGTCCGCAGGTACCCGACCTGACCTGGCCCGTTGCCATCCCTAGTAATTTTGTGTATGGTTGTTAGGGAGTCGTGTTGGACGTCTTGTGTGATGTTTATAGCACAAAAATCCAAACAAATGAAATGTGTTCTGGAAGTGTCTATCTAGATTTTACGCCATATCTCGTTTATGATGTTTTGACCCTCGCAAGCAGTTGGATGATTTTCATCCGGTTCACATGCTCGGTGGTGTTTGGAGTCTGCATATCTTGGTATTTTCATTAGTTCAATATAAGTTTTCTAGTTGAAGGTGTCTTTAAAAATTGCAGCAGCGCACTGCTCTGCTTTTCCATTTTGCAGAGGTAACACTGTTTGGTTTTGCCCTGTTTTCATCCTTTTAACATAATGATTTGTGTTTGGAGTCTCCTAAAACTTAAAGGTCCATACGTTTTCTTTCCATAATGTCAAGAGTCAGTCCAATTTCTATATTATAGAAAAAGCGAGGCTTTAGAAAAAAAATATTTCTTTCTTTTTGTGTGGTTCTTGTTTGTGATTCTGAAGTGCAAGCTGCTTCTATTCTTCACTTTTCATGTTTTGACTGGCTGCCCCAACTTGTAATTTTGTTCAATGTTGGACATGTCAGGGAGTTTTGAAGTGGCTCAAATATTATCGGATTTTCTTCTTTATGCAATGCAACATGCAACTGCACCGGGACCTATTTGATGATATTTTTGTGCATCGAAATCTCGTCAATAAAATGATCATAAAGCACATTGTCAAGTTGCAGAAGGGTCAATGACAATTTTAAGCCTCGTCGCAGATGGCCATCAATCTTGTGTTGCAAAAGGTTTGTCAAAACTCAAAAGTCTATTACCTATTCTTAAACTAATTTTAATGCTATTATTTAGCCATGTAATTTGCTAAAAATCTTTGTTCACACGCAGTCAAGAGTTTGAAGCTTCCAATTACTTCTTTCGGACACTTACATCTTAACGAGCATTCCAACAAATGTGGCAGCTGGAGGAGTTACAGTAGCGGCCCATGCTCGATCT